GCTGTTGGGCGAAATTGAATCCTCGGCTAGGAGATCGGAAAGATCGCCAAGCGTAGTGGTTGATGTGCCGGTCTCTGCACTGATTTCCATGCTTTTGGCAGGTGAGAGGGAATCCTCGGCGAGGAGGTCGAAGCCATCTCCAATCATCGTTGTTGTGGCTGCACTTGCTTCCATGATCTTCGCCGGGCTTTCGGGAGTCACGGAATCCTCGGCTAGGAGGTCGGCGATGTCGCCCTTTGTCGTCGACGTGGCCGTGGTCTCCATGTACATGTCCAATTCCCTCGCCGACTCCATGGCGGGCATGATACTGGTCGACTCCTCCACCGAGCCGGTCAGGGTGGCGGCAGCCTTGGCCTTGGGGCTCTCCATGATCTCCGACTCCTCTGTCGGCATATCAGCGCTCCTCGGGAACTCGCCCTTCTCGCCGGGGAAGGTACCTTCATTCATACCGATCTTACGCCAAAGTGCGGTCCAGCACTTTTCCTCCAACTCGGGACTTTCTGCCATGGAGTCTCCGAATTGCCGTGTTGGGTCGCAAATCAGCTCCAAATCAGCCTTGGCATCCTCCACGATCTGTTCGATGGCAGGCTCCACTTTCGCGTAGGAACCGTCGCCATATGTCCACACATCGTCGAATGCCACCACCATAAGGTTGTACTTCGAGAGAGTTGGCTCCAAGTTCTCATCAAGGAGGATGAGCTCGTGTGCCTTGTCGTTGCCCTTCGAGCTCATCTTCTTCATCATGCTCGCTTCCTGCCGAATCGTCACAAGCAGCTCAGCAAAGGAACTGAGCACTTCATGTGTCAGCAAGCTTCCGTACTTGCGCAGCCGAAAAAACCTACACAGCGAGAGCCACTTGTTTCGTACTTGCTAGGCAATCACACGGCCCGTGTCCAGAGCATCGATCGCGTTGAAGAAGTCCTTCATTCGAGGAAGACAAGCATATCCCTTACAGCCTGGCAAACTGAAGTCGACAGCACTAGCGCAAGACTGAATCGGTAGGGCCACAGCACCGTCCCAAGTGCTCAGCTAGTGATCGGTGTTGGTTGTGAGGGCAGCTTGGAGCTACATCATTGTTCATTCGAATGACGTTTTGGTGGGAAAGTCAACGTGCAACATCTCGCCTTGAGTCAAAGCCAATCCAACCGACCTCGCCTCTTGCTAATGTAGGAATTACAGCTGGAAGACATGGACCTGCACACCGTGGAAGTGTTTTGTTTCTTAAGGTTTGGTGGAGGCTGGCTTTGCGACAAGGTGGTGTGGAATTCGAAAGAGCTGGGTATTCTTTGGCGGCAATCTATTTGGGAACTCTCCTTTTGTCACGCCATGAGGTTCTTCATAGCAAGCTTTGCAAGGCATGACCAAAAACTACGGGGAGGTCCGTCTTGTTGTAAAGGCACACCCCAGCGCACCCCACCCCCAAAACAGAACGCTCGCAAGACTGGCTTGGACAGGGTTCATGTCGGATTACGCAGTTCTCTCTTGATAGCATGATGTCTTCGGCTCGGTCCTGCAGGTTCTAGGCCTGAGGCCTCACTAGGTGATGGCGGTTGATCACAACTCGTAGAGACGGCCCTCATCACGCGGCTGCGGCTGATGTCTCATAAGGCGATGCTGGTTGATCATATATGGTGAATTTAAAAACCGCCCCTGACCACGGGTAGGCGATGGTGGTGGGTGACATGTCTTGAAACCAGATTTCCACGTCATCATTTGGTCTCGACGACAAGCTATAAACCGAGTTTAGCGTGAAAGCCGACCGCGCGAACAGCACATGAACGTGCGTAAAGGAGGGACGGAGCAGAAGCGAAACAAGCAAACAAGAACTGAAACACAGTGTCAATGCAAACAAGACAGACACGCAAAAGCGAAAGCAAAACAGCGACAACACCAAACGGGAAAGCAATGAGTAACAAACCAGAAAGCCGGAAACACAAAGCAGTAAAGCGAAAGCGGAGGTCAAGGAACACAAACGCACAGCTTCCGGAAAAGGCGATGTTGCAGGACCAGAGCACCAAGGGGGCCAGCAAGACTATAGAGCCAAACCCGCGTTTCATGCACCGCCTAACAGTTTGCAAAGAAGTAGGCATGCCGCGGTAATGCACCGTAAGAAGCTTGTAACATGCACATAGTATGTCTTATATGGCTATAAATCCAACAGATGACAAATAACACGTTGCACTATACTCTCCTATGATATGACATCATACTAATACTACACTATAACACAACAAAATATAGCATACGATGAAATGAGATCCGAGGGGCTAGAACTAAGGTCATATGAGAAGAGAAAAGATGAGCTGAGATGAGAGGAGACAACATGGTATAACATCTTGTAAGACAACATATTATACCGCAATATTAGATGCAATATAGTATGGTGCATTATAATAACATATATATATATATATGTTCATTTTTATGTATTTATGTTTATTTATATACATATTCGAATACATAAAAAGTAGAATGTAATGTATAGCCCATAATGAATAGAATGAGTAATATGTAGAGCCAGTAACGTACAACAGAATAGTATCTAAGACAAGGATGTGTGTACACATATATACAAATATATGTACATGTATGTTATACGTTGTCCTCCACCGCAGCCTTCAACTTCTGAAGCAGCTCTGAACCTAGGAATCGCGGAGGGATCCACAACAGCCGTGCGAAATACTCACAATTTGAGTAGTTCTCTAAATTAGGACCCTTTTTGGGTCCCGCGTATAGTACGCCACCCTTATACAAAGGACCCTAAACGGGACAACTGCCCATTTGGCTTTACCGGATATCGGGCTGCTGAGGGTTTAGAGTTTACGCTCTCGCAACTCGGACACTGCCAGACGGTTTGGGGTTTAGGGTTTCGTGTGAAACGGGCAGCTTTCACACCTCATGGTCTTGGTGGAAACATGATGTCAGTGCTCTTCAGAAGACTTCATGCTCTGAAGTCTTGTGTGTTTCATCCCTAGCAAGAAGCTGAATCTCAGCCCCAAACCTGAAAAGTTGTTGCTGCCTTGCACCCCCGAGATCCCACACCGCCAAAGCCACACGGCCCCCCCCCCCCCC